AGAGGTCTGGGGTAGAGATGACCTTCAGAAACCACTTTGAGCCAGACTCCAGTGAGGTTCTTCCTCAATCATCAGTCAAAATGTTTTACTTCCTGAAGATCGTATTGATGTGATTTAGAAGTGCTTTTGGTACATTTGATACGAAATTGCTCTTATTGTTACTTCTTTAGACAAGAGTAGTGAAGAAGCAGACAGTACGAAGGAAGAAGCAGCTAGAATGGAAAAGGAATACGAAATCTCAAAGGATTCTACAAAAAATGAAGAACAAAATGCAGCAGGGAGCAGTGAAGAGCCCAGAGGTACAAAATAGCCATTGCTTTTGCTACATATGTACGCTCCAAGTGATTGGAATCTTTTCCTATCATCTTTGGTATTGTTTTTCCATTGTGTTAGCATAACTATCTCCGTTTATAGTTACTGGGAGTCAGCACGCAACAGCTTGATTCGGAAGTGTACTCACTTGCTTACTTCTAAACATATGAAACTACATCCCTTGCTGAGTAAGGCCATAATCTTTCACAGAATTCATAGCCCCTTTTGAGAGCAATATGAAATGCGTTTTGACACAGTAGTGCAGAGACATTTTGCTTCTTTGGATCTGTGGCTTTTCAGTGAAATCAGATCATCAGGATATTCAATATTCTGAGTGAGCCCATTGATTTCTCTAGTTTGCGTTAGAACAAGCTCGTACTGAAAGGTACTGAAAAGTTCTGCAAAGTGAAACAATTTGCATTACTCACTGCCAGAGGTTAAGGGTCATCAGCAATTAATCTGTTTTACACAACTTGGAAAACCTATTACAGTAAGTTAGTGTCTCAACAAGCAAACTTAGCACAGTAGTAGTTTTATTATCCTAGCTGCCTCAGCACGACACATAATGCCACGTGCTGTGCCACATTAGACTGTACAGGCTGAAGTCGCTCTGTCCACGGGGTGCAAATCAGCTGGTATATCTCAAAACAAATCTGCAGAGGACACTGTGCCTCCTTACACTGCACTTCAGAGCCTGCGTCCCGAAGACCAAAGACAAGCGCCGCTATACTTTTAGCTAATCTTGTATAACCAAGCATTTCTGGGGTGTCCAGCACAGCCCTCAAATATTTAAATACAACTTTTTGTCTCTCTCAGCTTGTACTAGAAGTAAATCTTAGAAGTGGCTGGTGTGTAAACTTATAAGACAAGAGTGGGTTCATTCTAGGTCTGTGTGTGGGTGAAGAACTTACTGAGGGAAAGGAAAGTTGGAGAAATTAGTTTGGCAAGTGACGGTTACAGTATAGTGCTTCAGGCTCAGCCATGTCTTTTGGTAGAGCGAGTTCCATAGTCTAGCTGCATCTCCAGAGTAAGTTCTCCCTCCTGCACACAAAAACCTCCTTCTTCATCAGCAGTTTATTGACTAGACTTGATGGACTTTCTTAGGAAGTGATGTATAGGCAGGAGATTTGTCAGGTATGGATGCTGAACTTTTGAAGGAGGATGTTTGTTGGGGCAGAAACCTTTCAGTGGGTTCTTACTGCTAAGGATTCAGCATAAGCATCTATGTTCTGTAGTCAGTTGGTTTAAAAAAATGGCTTATAATCTGTTTTGCACTGATGCTGTTTTATGCTCGTACTTTTTTGGATGCATGTGTTTTCCCTGCAAAATGCTTGGTAAGGAATCGCAGTAATCGAGGCTACGGTAGATTGTAGTTCATTGGTCACCTGCTTCAGTCCTGTGGGCAGCGCAGGCGTGTAAACTATTAGCCACTCACGGATAGAAGGTGGCATTTTTTCCAGCAGTGGTTATTTGAGCACAGAAGAGGAAAATAGCTCAAGATGGCCGTCTGATTTCACAGTAAAGAAAAACTGTCTCAATACCTGTGGGAAGTGATAAGTAACATATTTTGCTTGTCTATTGAAGATCTGTCTATTCAGTTTGGTTCAGGTTATTTTCCTTTACCTTCAGAAAAACGTTCAGCCCAATAGCTTTTTAGAAATTTAAATTGGATCAGTATTTAGTTCTTTGTCTCATCATGCAATGCCCTTTGCTCTTTCACAGAGTAACTTACTATAAATCTAACTCTGCACTCCCAGCTCCAAAATTACAGTATCCGCTTACTAATGGGACCAGACATGCATACTTGGCAGTAGTAGCCTTCTACATGCTAATCACACTAGGGGTTTTTTTCCTGACAAATGTAAGAACATTACATCAATAAAGCTCCAGCCAAGTTAAGAATTCAAAATCTATTAGCTGCAATATTTCCTTAGGGGCCTTATTAGGTAATCTTTGAACTAATCCTGTCCCGTGTGCTTTCTGGTCCAAAAACAGCCATCGCTTTAAAATTTCAGCTATTACAAAGGGTTATCATGGTGGTTTTAATACATCCTTTTTCTCAGTAAATGTAAGTAGCTGTATTTCAGCTTGTATTTCCAAAATATCACCATCTTAGATTTGCTGTATGCTGTTAGTACTACTGAATGTAGGAGTTTTCCCACACTTTGTATATGAGACACTCAAAGCTCTCAGTCTTATTTAAGGCATTCCTTGCTGTCTTAACAGCTTCGTCTTTGCTGAACAATTATGATGATCAAAAAGCTACAGGTTGCCTTTAATCCACATATGCAGTATCTGCAGATACCACCAAAAGTTACGTATACAGATCAAAAAAGCCATGGTCCCAAGTGTGTGGATGACTAACCTTGCACAGACAAAACCTGCTAGCCATCTGTGGGAATTTTGCCTGACTAAAGTTGACAGGACTCAGCTTTTAAACAGAAACTAAGAATAGTTTTAATCTGCCTTCGCTATGACCAACTTCACTCAGTTAAGCAAGCTGCATCAATCATTGATGTAAGTGCGTGCCTGATTTCTCTCTCATCCTTTCCTCTAGGGAAAGCTGAGGCATATTTGGAAGCAATCAGGAAGAACATAGAATGGCTAAAAACCCACAACAAACAAGGTAACAAAGAAGGTATGAAGTAAAAAGCCTTGACATTGGGGTGGGCGCCACATATATCACAAAGCATGTAATTTAAATTGTGTGGTATAACTTAGCATTGTGTTATAAGTTAAGTAATAGTAATGCGAAACTGTGCTTGTCTAGATTATAGTGATAATTAATGATGTTAGAGTTAGATAATACAGGTCATGTAAAAGTTAAATCAATGAATGAAAATCGTAAACTAAGGCAAATGCATGTAAACTGGCTCAAACAGCCGTTGGCCACAAAACACACAGTGACTAACCAGCTAGAAGTTAGTCATGTGCTGTCCAGATAGTCACGGCGGTCTGCGCGTCACCAGGTAGCAGTACGTCAGTTTTGTCTAGTGCTTCATTTCTTAGTTCAACATACCTTTTAATTATGATTTTATACGTGAGGTAAATGTATTTTAAATGTCTGGATGTGTCTAGAAAAGCTCAGTGCATCTGGCTAGCACTGTGTGTGCCATCACAAATAGCAATGAGTTTTGTTTCATAACCATAAATAGTTAAGATGATACAAACGTATGTCACTAGCACTGTGATATATTGGATTACAGCCCAAATCCACTCTAACGACTTGCAGCTCTCACGCAAAGCTGTGTAGAAGGGGAGCAGCGACTGAAGCAGCTGCACAGGGTATGCTCGCCAGCTGCCCCACCGTTTGACTGGTCCTCGGAGGCAGGGCTGTCTGAGAGCTGGAGGGAGGGAGCTAACAGCAGCAGGATTTCTAGCTTATTTTTCACGGATCTGTATTTATCCGTATCATGTTTGCCCTCAAGATCTTACATAAAACCAGCCTCCTATCCCTTCTCTCTGCCTTTGCTGGGTCTCCTGCCATCATCCGCTCTGTAAGTGAAGGTTCCTAGCCGAGAGATCCATCCCTGGGGTATGACTGGTGCCTGGCGAGAAGGTTCCTCCTTGCACCAGCCAAGCAGAGGGGGATCCGAGATGAGATTAGCCCTGGGTAATCTAGCCACCCTCTCTGTGAGCTGAAGTGTATATGAATTACATTTCAGAGATGAGTGCATGCCTACAGCCCAACGCATTCATTTTCCTCTATAGAAACTCCGTAATAGGAAAGACTTTTTTCTTTCATTTTTTCCCCTCTTAAAATCGTTTCCGCGTGCTGGCAGCGATGGCAGTTAGCAACAGACGTACATATTTGCTCAGGAGTTTTCCTGCCATTTCTAATAATTTTTTCTGTTTATCGGTATTATAGCAATTAGACCACAGTCACGTGTGATTATTTCTCTGTCTCACACATGCTGGCTGGGCAGCCCCTTGCTCCTCCTCATAGGAACCTTTCCTCCGCACTACTGCAGTCTGAAAATGGCTGTGACTGCAGATCAATAGCATTTTATCTGGCCATGGATGCATTAAGATGTACGCTTTCTGTGTAGATGAATTCTCATTTGCACTAAAATATCTTTATTGTCCTCTGGCAGTGGCAATGGGCCTTGAAGTGAGTGTAAGTTACGACAAAATTAGAATAGTGTTCTTGCTCTTCTGATACATTATCTTTATCGTGCCTTTCCATACTTTTTATTTTTGTAAAATGCTAATTCAGGTCTCCTGGGATGATGTTAAAGCAAGTGCAGTCAGGGTAAGCTTATCTAACCGTGAATGCACTGCACTGTGTTTCTTCAGTACAAGATTAGGTGATAGTGATGTGCTCATCAATCCTTTCTCCGCTTCCAGCCAGCACCTGGGAGCTAGCAGAAAAGTGATTCACAAAGTAATTTGTGCATTAAAATGGCCAGTCTTTTCCGCCCCTATTCATGGAGTGTTCTACTCACCGAATATACTTGAAGAGGTTTAGGTTTTCTTCAGGCAGATGTTTGTAGATCCTTAACTTTGTATGAATTTCAGTAGAAATTATTATTCATTCAATGACTAATGACCCTGGAAATGTTAATTGCATTCTCCCACTTTAAAAATATCAATTGCCTATTAAGGAGGCAAGAAAACTGGAGTGGTCTGGGTGATTTAAAGAGAAACATGTCAAAAGCCTAGATTTTGGCCTGATTGGCTTTTGTGTCCAAAGTTTGTTTTGCATACACACTATATGTAGGCTCTGCGGGCCTGTCCTGAGTCTCTCCCAGACCTGGCTTGATCTTTGAAACCAACGCTCTTTAAGACCAGCTCCTCTCCTGGGTCACTTAACATCGCTCCCAGCAGCAGACGTCGACTATTGCGTTTAGTCTCCAGAGAACATAACCCGGAGTCGTTCAACTAGTACACGCAAATAGCCTGTTCGGATTTTTCACAACACACTTAGGTAGCTTATAGTTTTGTAACACTACCAGTGGCCACTTAGGAATGGAAGTAAATTCTGTAATTAATTGCAATGGCAAATGGCTTGATTCGAATATGCAACTAAGACCTCACTTCATTTACTGTAGCAGTTTCACAGCTCAATGTAATGCTGCAGCTGGCGCGGTGAATATAAGCCAAAGCTGATTTTTCTAATTACTTGCCCAAATTAATAGGTTGTAAATAAGTATTAGAAATTAACAGTTATCAATTTCTAGGAAAAAAATCAAATTAAATTGCCATGAGATGCACAAATTAGCCAGAATTGGATAGTATCTTAATGGCTGTAAACTCATTCAGAATGTTTAGTAATTAAACCTTCACATCTCCACGTAATGATCTTAGGGTTGTAAATACTATTCTAGAAGAAAAATAAGCTCAGGAATCTTAATGTGAATAATGTGGATGTTATATTATTTTGGTGCTTGTTGTTCCATTCATTTCCATTCCGGGGTATTTTTCACTGGAGACTCTCATTCTGTCGACGTGAATGAAATCTCACAGCCTTATTATTAAATTGCTAGGTACTCTTTGTCCCTATTACTCAGCTAGGATGGAGAGACGAGCAGGTTACATTCTCTTAAGTAATGCTGGTAACAGACCAGACGTGAAATCCCGGAGTCAGTACAGGAAATAGAAAAATTCCTATTAACTCAGATACGGAGAGGAGTGGGGAGTTCTGAACATCAGTTTTCTGTATTACTCACTTGAAATGGCCTTATGCTGTTACAAAAACGATCGCAAGCATTAATTTGCTTCTTAATGTCTTTCTGTTTCTATCCAATTTTGGTCACTCAACCATAAAAAGATGGAAGTCATTATTGTCTCTTTTGATAAGAATGTACAGTCTGAGAGAAGGTCCTTCCACTTGTTGCTGTGTGGTGATAATCATTGGCGTACATTACAAAATCAGTATTGATATATTCTGAAGGTTCTGTCTGTGGAATAAGTAATTTATACTGAAAAATTCAGGATGTGTCTGTTTTTGTGAAAGATATTAATTCCTTTAACTCAGGAGGAACCCTTAAGACGCTGACGTTTTCCAGGCTACTAACTTGTGATTCTAACAAATTCAGCTTTACATTTTATGCAGTAAATTACGTCCCTGAAACGTGTATTGTGTTTATGTGCGAATACACTGGATCTGTTGCCAGAGTTACGACTACACAACAGGTTACCTCTTTATGTTATCTGAAAGTAGAATTCTTTTCGTGGAAAACAGTGATGTTTTCCAGCATAGGAAAAGTCTGTTTAATGTATGTGGCGTGAATCACGCCGCACAGATGCAACCGTCCGTGGGAGAAGGAGAACGTGTCTTTCAGCACCGTACCGCAGATGGACGTACAGAGATTGTCAAAGCCTACTTTGACACTAACGCTGTCAGAAAGACTACTCACTGCCGTATTTTTCATGTCAGAATATTACGTTCTGTATCAAGGTAAATAATTGTATTATTTCGATTTATTTTCAGGAAGGTGCTTTCTTGAATTTTCACTACAGGTGTTTGGAGTGAGTGGGAATTTTACCGGTATTCCAGTAGGAAACAGTCAATTTAATATTTTCCTTTGAATCCGCGACAGTTGTGAAAATGATAGGGTTTTAACAACAGCTTTTGCACGCAGACTGGACCGTCAACTCTCTGGACCAGAAAATATTCTTACTTTAGCATTTGCCAGCAGGCAATCAAGAGCGAGAGATGATTCTTCCTCTCGAGTAGTAAAAGCACCGTGACGTGTAAAAAGACTTTGTGCGGGTGTCTGGGTTTTTTTAAATCGTTTTCGCAGGTTGCACTTGTAGTGACTTCCCTTCATGTTGGGTAAATTGCATTTGTTGGATAAACTTCACAATGACACTGTTTCTTAGGTGAAGCGGTACAATGGCAACGACTCATTGTGCAAATGAATTCTTATTTTTCAGACTATGATCTGTCAAAGCTGAGAGATTTCATTGATCAGCAAGCTGATGCTTACGTGGACAAGGGCATCCTGGACAAGGAAGAGGCTGATGTAATTAAACGCATATATGGCAGCCTGTAAAAAGCTAGTGGCTGCCAAACGTGTAGAAAACTCGTATAGCTTCCCCCACTCCTGGCTGAATGACTTGTGATCTGTTATTTTGAGGGTATCGTTAGAAATGCTCTGTTTACGTTGTACTGACAACTTTCTAGGCAGAAATGAAGAGCTGTAGTGCTCCGTACACCGACTGCATACCGTGTGTTCCTACACTCGCAAATCAACCCTAAACGCCAAATTCTGACACCGAATCTCTGTTTGACAGGGTAAATATTGATGTGATGTTCTCTTCCATTTATTATTCGCATTCGGTTTCCTTTTGTAGATAAACCAGTCATTTCTGATGTAATGCTACATCTTTTTGCTCTCACTCCACTAGCTTTCTAGATGCAACTATGTAAAGGGCATTATTAGAAAATAGTTCATAGTTCTCTAAATAAAGTATTTGAAAATAATTTACCTATTAAAGTTCTCATTAATCTTAATATGATTTTATATCCAGAAATCTTGTTTTTAAATCCTAATGCCTTTTTCTTTTTCTTGACCCTTTTTATTTCTTTACGTAGTACTCTGTAACTTGGACTACAGCGTCCTGAGCTAACTGATCCGCCTTTGGCACTACAGCTGCCTTTCATGTTACAGAGCTGTGTTCTCACCATCCTTGCTTCATCCGGCATCTGTAAACACTCTCTTTGGTGCACCATTCGATGATTGTGCATGCATAATTAGTTGAATTCCTGACGTGAGTAGCCTGATAACGTGTAAATAGCCATTACTTTCTTTAAAGAAAAAAAAAAAGGGGGAAGCCACTCAAGTCATTTTGCACGGGAAGGGGAGTTTGCGAGGAGAGATGGTTTTAGGAACGTGGGCCCTGCTTTTCAGAGAGACTTAAACAGCCTGTCATATCTCAGCATCTCCGAGTATCAAGGCTGCGGTGCGTTTACTGACTTCTGATCTGTGTTGAGCAGTACTGTTTTGGAAAACTATTTTTTGGGCATATATATGCTATCATTAGCCAAGAATTTGGTACCTCCTAAGGAATGAAAAAGGAAAACAAAAATGTCGCCCTCATTCTTCTTCCTCAACTTACAGAGCTTTCGAAGAATGGTTTATGAGATCTTTTATATTTAAGTGAATGGATAATTTTCTGCATCGGGAACTCATGAAGGAAGATCAAAGGTAAAGAAGTTTTTAGAAAAGTACATTTTAAACCAAGTTCCAGAAGATGTAAGCCCTGAGACTTAGCCCCTGCAGCACTCGTTTGTCTAAATGAACTCCAGGAAAGCCCTGTTCTCTTTACCTACAGGTTCTTCATCGATAATTGAGGTTATCCCTGCTCTGATGTTTTTTAAAAAACTCGTGATACTTCTGAGATTGATACAGTCAAAAAATGTTAGCTGATGCGGAGGTTGGTATCTGCCGGCCAGCGAAGGCGGGTGCTGACTTGCAGCGCTGCCGGCACAGCACAACGTTCTGTAAACGCTGAACGGGCAGACCGTTTCCTTCCTTATTTTCTCAGCCCAGACGGGAGATAGAGGAGGAGGAGCAATGTTTCTGAGCCAACCGAAGTCAACTTTGGAACCCCTGCAAAACATAAATTATCAACAGAATGTTACTGGTAACAAATATTAAATGACTGTGATAGCAATGAGGTATAACAGCCTATCTATTTGAAAACCGATGGCACATAAGCCAACGAATGCTTTCTAGCACACAAAAAGCGTGTCGTGGCCTGCTCGTAGACATCCCGATAGGGATCGTTGCATTGCAGTACCACTCACTAGTGGTGGTATTTATTTTAAGACAAAAACTGTATCCAGAAATGTAGTCAGTGCAACCTTCCCGCTTGAAAAATGGTCCCTTAGAAAGGCTGCAGAAAGCAATTAGGAAAAAAAGAATTTGTTACTTTGAATCAGTGTATTTGTTCTCACCTAAACCCCCTTAGCTTCTTTATGACGATGATTTGCTGATGGCCCCAAAGAACAGAGTTTCTTCTTGTCCCTGTAGATCTCGGTTGTTTTCTGCAACGGCTTGTGACGTACTTTCTTATGTGCATGTCACCCTGGAAGAGTGTGCTTTTGGATTTATGAAAGAAACCAGGAGAGCGGTAACTAACCACAGAGCTCTACAGCTGGGGAAGTGGTAGCGATCTAGGATCTGCACTCACAAAACAACAGGACAAACTTCCCTTCCCCAAGGGCTACTTTAAAAGAAAAAGCAAACAACTTCTCCCGTCAACATAATGAGTAGTACAATAACATTTTTACTTTTCACTGGAAGTTAGGTTCTTACTTTGGCCTCTCGGGGGTCTGTGCAGGAGTCTGGTACTCATGGAGCGCTGTCGTCATCTAGCGACCCGTGATTACGAACAGTTTGTGTCCACAAAAAGGCTAGTACAGTATTTTTTTAACCTCTCAGTTTTGCAAAGTTTGTAACTTCAACAAAGCATAGATGACATCATTTAGAAAAAAAAAGTCCAAACAGTGGGTAGTTCAGAGTACGCATGTTCTTGGACCTGTTCCGTGCCTGCCCTGCTGCTGTGCATCGCTTGGGGTACATACGTAGACCGCTTAGACCAACCTGAGGGCTAGCTGAGAGCAGAACAAGCCCTCTGACGGGCAGATGAGCAATCTCAGCTGCGTTCGCCAAACTAGATTCACCTCCCGCCCTGCCCAAGCCCATTAAACTTGTTATCCGAATGCTTCAAATACTGGTTTCATTGCTGGTCCGTCAAATGAACATCTATGGGCAAACCGCCCCCTTCACAACTAGAGAGTAAAACCACAGCCAGCCGGATGAATCACCCTGCCTCTCTAAAAGGCTGTTACGTACACTAAATAAAATCAAACCGAGTGACGCGAGTGTCAGCCTGCACCACAGATCAGTCCTTGTTTTGAAGGGAACACCTGGGGCACATGAGCACTGGACACCCGCTGCTAGCGTGTTTAGTACATACTTAGTAAAGCGTATCCTGTCAGTGCTTTCCTTCTTCCTGGCGACAAAGGGATTTTCAACACCTCCGCGTCTCTGGTTCTAACCTGACAAAAATCGGTTTCTACGTTGTTTGTATCCACCTCTGCCGGACCCTTCAGAAACCCTTCACTCCCTAAACGACCACTGAAAACGTAACAACTACAATCGATACGCTATTCACCTCTTCAGCTTTTCTATTAGACTCGTTTCTGATACTGTACTTTATTAAACACTTTACTACAAGCTACAGTCGTACCAGGCTGCTTTTGTGTGTTACAGGCAACGCCTCTTTTCTCTCCACTTTCTGCCCAGCTTTTTGAGGACGTCCCGCACCACGGAGCAACAGGAGTTCACCGCGATGGCTGCAGGAAGGGGGATGCCCCTCTGAGAACGTCGGATGCAACTACAGCACCTGCTGGCTGCGTGAGCTGCATTCACAGGGGTTTAGCAGCCTCCAGGCGCGTTGGAACGAGTCCCAAATGAAAACTTCCTATCGGCGGTGTCCTGCATTTCATATAGAAAGATCCTAGCCCAAGTCCTGCCCAGGTTTCGACTTTTCAAGCTTTGACTGAAGTAATACGTAAAACCAAAACTACAGACGTGCAGGTTTCCCACCACAGAATAGCTGCAAAACACGGAATTTTACCTGCACTGTTTCACTTCTGCCTGAAACTGCCCCACTCCATCCCTAAACCACACCTGGTAGGACTGGTGTAAATATATGAACAAAGAGTGACGTTACAAGCGTAGGAAGGCTAAAGGCAGAGCGAGAAGCAAAATATACAGGATAATGTATAAACAATATACAAAATACACAGGAAAAACTGTCATTTTACTGAGTAATGATACGACAATGTGGATGAAGATATTAAAACATTAGTTATTTCAGAGTCCCAAAAACCCCTTTTCTACAGAGTAGGAAAACTCCATCTTTAATTACTCCGTGTATATTACAGACAGACTATTTCCAGGCACCATTTTCTCTCATCTGCTCCGTTTTCCTCGGGGCTGAGCAGACCCGGGGTACATCGGGCAGCTGCCGGGAATACGACAATGTGGATGAAGATATTAAAACATTAGTTATTTCAGAGTCCCAAAAACCCCTTTTCTACAGAGTAGGAAAACTCCATCTTTAATTACTCCGTGTATATTACAGACAGACTATTTCCAGGCACCATTTTCTCTCATCTGCTCCGTTTTCCTCGGGGCTGAGCAGACCCGGGGTACATCGGGCAGCTGCCGGGAGGCGTGTGTGGCCCGCCGCCCCGCTCAGGGGTGCAGCCCAGCCGCGCGGCAGCGGCGCGGGGGCACAGGGGCTCC